GGCATGCCCCTTAACTATTTGAGCCCTGACATTACCACTTGAGGCTTATCTGTAGGTTTACAAAAACACCTGTTATGTTTTGTCTTTGGTGCTGGAACTGGAGCTTCAACTCAGGGGTTGGGCACTGTCTCCTAGCTTTTTACTCCAGGCTGGTGCTCTACTACTTGAGCCACAGCTCCACTTCTGGCTTTTTGGTGTTTAATTAGAGATCGAAGTCTCATGAACTTTCCTGCCCAGACTGGCTTCCAACTACGATCCTCAGATCTCAGCCTCCTGAATAGCTAGGATTACAGGCACCAGCCACCAGTGCATGATGATGCCTGCCCTGATATTTATTATTTCATTTCATCTGCTGGTTTGGGGTTTAGCTATGACTTGTATTTTTAAGGAGCTTAAGGTGCATCCTTAGGATATCGACTTGAGGCTTCTGTTTTACTGATACAGGCTCTCGTAGCTATAAACTTTCCTCAGAGAACTAACTGCCTTTGTTGTGACCTAGAAGGTTCTGGAAAGCTGGGTTTTCATGTTCATTGTACTCTTAGGGACTTTTTGAATTAGAAACCTACTCATCAGTCATCAACGTGTTGTTCAGCATCCAGGAACCTGAAAGTTTTCTGTAGTTTCTTTTGCTGTTAACCTCTAGTTTCATTCCACTGTGTTATGACAGGACCCAGGGTATGATTTCAACTTTCTTGTATTTGCTGAGATTTACTTAATGTTCTAGGGCAGGATCAGTTTTGGAGACAGTTCCACGAGCTTCTGAAAAGAACGTGTATTGTGTAGTTGTTGGCTGAAATATTTTGTAGGTGTGAGTTAGGACCGATGGCTCTCTGGTATCATTTTAAAATTAATTTCCTTTTTGTTATTATGGAGGTGATGTACAGAGAGATTGCAGTTACATGAGTCAGGTAATAAATACATCTCCTTTCATACAGTGTCTTCTGTTCCCTTGTTCTTTCCCAGCCCCTCCCTTCTGTCTCCCCCTACAAATTGTATAGTTCACTTTCATCAATGTCCACTGAGCTCCACTGCTGCAGTTTTCACTTTTTCCTCTCAAGTTCTGTATCCTCCTCCCAACCTTTCCAAAGATGTACACGTGAATACACCACACATGAGGTAAAGAAGAATCAGCTGGGCACCAGTAGCTCATGCTTGTAACCTTAGCACTCAGGAGGTTGAGATATGAGGATTGTGTTTCAAAGCTAGCCTGGGCAGAAAAGTCTCTGTAAGACTCTTATTTCCAGTTAAGTACTTAAAAACTGGAAGTGTTGTTGTGGCTCCAAGGTAGAGCACTAGCCTTGAACAAAAGAGCTCAGGGACAGTGCTCAGGCCTTGAGTTCAAGCCCCACTACTGTCCCCCCCCCCCAGAAAAAAACCCCCAAAAACTAAAGACTTAAAAAAAGACAGAGAAAGAAAGAAGTCTTTTATTTCCATATCTTGGAGTTGGTTTCAGTATTTTATAAAGATATGAAGAGGCACTTGGGCATTGTGTCTTTGTGTTTCTCTCCTAAGAGTATCCTCATTTAGCCTCACTGTGTGTACGTCTACTAGAATCCTGTATAATTTATCATATCTTAGTGTATTTTAGATCTAATTTTATGGTTTTATTTATTTATTTATTTTTGCCAGTTCTGGGGCTTGAACTCAGGGCCTAGGCACTGTCTCTGAGCTTCTTTGCTCAAGGCTAGCACTCTACCATATGAGCTACAGCTCCACTTCCAGCTTTTTCTGTGTATGTGGTACTGAGGAATCAAACCCTGGGGTTCATGCATGCTAGGCAAACACTCACCACTAAGCCACATTCCCAGCCCTTATGGTGTCATTTAAATCAAATTTCTTTGTTGAGTTTTTGTCTAGATATCCTATTGTGAGAGTGCGGTATTGAAATCCCCTACTATCATTGCATTATGGGGGTCTATCTATGTTTTAAAGTCAATATTGTTTTGGCCAGATTAGATATGTTTCTTTTTCTTTTTAAAAATTTTTAATTTTATTTTTTTTAATTTTTTGCCAGTCCTGGGGTTTGAACTCAGGGCCTGGACACTGTCTTTAAGCTACTTTTGCTCAAGGCTAGCACTTTGCCACTTGAACCACAGTGCCACTTCTGGCTTTTTCCATTTTATTTGGTACTGAGGAATTGAACCCAGGACTTCATGCATGCTAAGCAAGCGCTCTACCATTAAGCCACAGTCCCAGCTCTTAGATGTGTTTCTTGTAGGCAACAGATGGTTGAGTTGTGACTTTTGATCCAAGCAAGTTACCATTCTATGTCTTTTAATTAGGGGACTTGAATCCATTGAAAATGAATATTAAAGGTATTGAAAGTATGAGCTTTTAAAAAACGAAATAGTGTTAAGCTCCTTCCTGCTTCTTCTATTCATCTACTCATCTGGTGGAATTTGTTTTGTTCACTTTTTTCATGTTTATGTTCATCTTCTTCTTCTGTGTGCAGGATGTCTTTGCATAACTTCTTTTGTACCAGTTTACTTGGTGATAAATTATTTTAGTTTTTATCATGGAATGTTTTGATTTTTCCCTTCTGTTATGAATGAGAGCTTTCTTCTTTCTGCTTTTGGTAGTATTTTTACTTTTTTTTAAAACATTTTTCTCTGTGCTTATTGTTTTAACTATAATATTATAGTTTTTTTTTCAGATATCTCATCCTTCTGGTTGGAAGTTACTCATTTGAAGAATCATTTTCGCAATGGGCTTTTAGTCATCTGCAGTCTTTCCTTCAGGTTAGTCTTTACATTGTCACAAATTTAGGTGTTCACTGGGTAGATGTGGTATTTCTCTCCCCTGGGTTGAAGATGTATTATAACTCTAATAGATTTGACAATTCAAACCCCAAGCAGATTTTTTATTGACAGTAAATATGACTTATTAATGATATCTGTACAACAAAACCATCCTTCCCTGAGTCTTGGGGGAATCTCATATTCAAAGCATAACAATCCCCAAATGAAAAGCGTCTTAGGGAACTTAGGTACATGAAGTCTTTTCAGGGAAGGAAAGGAGGTTCAGGGGGATAATGGGAAGGAAGGCTACATGCTTATTAGGTCTTCATCATATGCAGCTTGGATTATTGCCTATGTGCTAGAGTTTCCTTAACATAACAACCCATGATCTCTTCCATAGGTCAGTCTCTGTAATCCTATATACAAGCACATTGTGACTTTGAAAGCTAAATATGACTCTTCTGTGTGTGTGTGTGTGTGTGTGTGTGTGTGTGTGTGTGTGGGTGGGTGCTAGACCTGGGGCTTGAACTTTGATCTTAGGCCCTGTTCCTGAGCTTCTTTTGCTCAAGGCTAGTGCTCTATCACTTGAGCCACAGCCCTACCCCAGGCATTTTTTTTTTGTAGTTTTGTGGAGATAAGAGTCTTAAAATTTTTTCTGCCTGGGCTGATTTTGAACTGTGACTCTTGGATCTTAGCCTCCTGAATAGTTAGGATTACAGGCATAAGTCACCAGCACCTGGCAGGATTCTATTTTTTACTAAAGGCTGGAAAGTCCAGAGCTCATACTTTGATTGTATCTAAAGACCTATACACATTCTGGGTTCTGTAAAACTAACAAAAGGATGACTGATTAAGGAAATCTTGTTTATTTAGGAAACCTTTTTATTTTGCTTCTTTTTCTGTGATAGTAAGCCCTACAGCTAACATCTTAGTCATTCACTGGTAGCTTCTTTTGGAGATGAAATTCTTGAAATAAACTGGGCACCAGTGGCTTGTGCCTATAATCCTAGCTACTCAGGAGTCTGAAATCTGAGGATCACAGTTCAGAGACAGCCTGGGCAGGAAAGTCTGTGAGACTCTTATCTCCAGTGAACCAGTAAAAAAGCTGCAAGCTGAGCTATGGCTTAAGTGGTAGAGCACTAGCCTTCAGGGAAAAAAAAAAAAGTTCAGGGACAGTGCCCATGCCCTGAGTTCAAACCCTAGGACTATCTCAAAAATAAAAAATGCTGGAAAGGAGAAAACAGTGAGGACAGCTTTGCCAGGGACAATTTGTAAAGCAGAACTGATAAGACCCAGTGGCATTACAGGACAGGCACAGATTTTCAATCTAATTGCCAAAGGGAGACATAAGTGACATAAAATAAGTGACAGACATCAAGAAAGCTCAAAAGGAGGCCAAGTCCCAGTGACTCACACCTGTAATCCTAGTTACTTGGGGGAATCTGAGATCTGAGGATAGTGGTTCAATGCCAGCCTGGGCAGAAAAAAATCCATAAGGCCCTCATTTCCAACTAACCACCAAAACACCAGAAGTAGAACTGTGGTTCAAGTGACGAGGCACCAGGATTGAATAAAAAAGCTAAGGGATGGTGTTCAGGACCTGATTTCAAGTCCTTCTAACATCAGCACACACACACACACACACACACACACACACACACACACACACACACACAGAGGAAAGCTTATCAGGTATCATGGCAGACAGCAAGGTTTTGGATGGTGACTTAGCTTTCACATATTGAATGTTGAACCCTTGAGACCTGGGGACATCTTGTTCCATGGATTCACTGGCCCAGTCCACGCATCAGCCATTCTGGGTGTGAGTCTGGTAGATGTCTCTCATTTCCGGTGTCTGTACATCTGGAGCCTTGTGGAATTTCTGTTTCCAAAACCACTCTGGGCACTGTCATAGTAGGACAATAGCTCTAGGAGATGGGCAAGGCTTGGGTTCAGACTCTTTCTAGAAGCTCCGGGGGCTCCATCCCCATTGTCCATGGAGGGGACATAACAAAATCACTTTATGCTACACATTAACACAGCCTGACTGTACTGTGAGTGGGCCCTTGAAGCTTCTCCACTCCTCCCTGACATTCCTGGAGAGCCTGGCAGAAGCCATAGCTGGGTCCTGAGCAATGCCCCTCCCTCTAGCCTCTTCCGCCCATACTGCTACCCACTTCCCTGTTTCTCTTCCTGAGTGAGAATAGAGGCTGTGGTCAGAAAAGTGGCATGTCCTCAGAAGTCCCAGGCAGGGAGGACAGCGGCCCAACCATGTATGACCTTGAGGAAGAAAGGAGGCAATATCTGGGTGAGACTGGGCTGGAACTGTGGGGGTTATGTCAGGGCTGCCCTAGGCCCTGGCTTTCTAGGATCACCAGCCAACTTCCAGACTCAGATTGAGCAGGGCCAGTTGCTGAGAAGGAGTGGACAGAGTTCCTCCTGAATGCTTGGGTTCTAGGGGAGGTTGGGGACCCAGGAACCTTGGGTAAGGGGAAGTGGAGGGACAGAAGTCTTGACTTCTGGGCATTGTGCAGGTAGAAGCTGGGACATGGAATTCCTGTGTCCTGAGGAGGAAGAGACTGGAGATGCTAGGATATCCTGAGGTCAGGGTGAGGAAAGGACATTGGGATCCTAGAACCTCATTTTTCTCTCCCACAGGGTATCAGAACCAAAGCTGCCTCCTCCTCGTCCTGCAGCTGGTCTCCATCACACTCCTGGTTGGGCTTCTTGTGGCCATCCTCCTTCAAGGTCAGGGCAGGCCTGAGAGTATGGGCTTCCTGGTCCACTCCATCAGCTGTGACCACGAGGTTTAGGAAGGAACTGGGGAGAAAGCCGTGTTTGTGTCTTCTAATGGTTCCCAGGGGTTTGCTTATCTCCTTCACCTCTGCTTCCTGGCAAGGAGAAGGCAGTCCTAACTCCATCTACTCATCTGGTTCATACTTCCCTGGATGTCAGAGTTTTTTCTTTCCTTTTGATACACACACACGCACACACACAGATATAGATATAGATATACAGATATATTTGGTTCTAGTCTTGGGGCTTGAACTCAGGGCCTGGATGATGTCCCTGAGCTTTTTCACTCAGGGTTGACACTCTACTGCCTGAACCACAGCTCCACTTCTGGCTTTTTGCTGGTTCATTAGAGCTAAGAGTCTGAAAGGTTTTCCCTTGAATTGCAATCTTCAGATCTGAGCCTCCTGAGTAGCTAGGATTCCAGGCTTGAACCACTTGGCACCCTATAAGATTCTTTTCCTTGTTAAGTGAGATTTACCAAGACCAATGGTCAGAAGTCGTGCTCCTAAGGGTATAGTGCAAGATGTGGTACACAGTAGGTGTTTAGTAATTTTTGTTTCTGTTGTACTTGGTCCAGACTCCCATGATTTCACCTCTCAGGAGAAGGAGAGGATCTACCAGGACCTCATTGAGCTGAAGGCTGGAGTGGGTGAGTGACCAGAAATGGGTCTCTAAGGATCTATCTTAAGAGAGTCTCCATGTCATGTTGCTGTGCTCGAATCCCTAGCCATCTCTGGGCATTGTGACATGGGATATAGAATAACATCCACGATGGCACCTGATGTCCCTAAGTGGCTGTGTCCATTGTAGAAACTCAGTTAACCAGGCTTGTGGCCCCTGACCTGAGCTCCAGAACCTCTTGCTTCTCAAAATCTGGAAGAGATGGAGTGGGGAAATGGATCAAGAAATCGAGAGGGAGATGGCTAGTTCCCCCCAGGAAGCTGTGACCCAAAGGGGGAGAGGGGCTGACTGTGGAGGGCTTCAAGGCTGGACAGACACAGGAACATGGACATACAACCTCTTTCCCACAGACCACCTCTGCCGACCCTGCCCCTGGGACTGGACGTTCTTCCAAGGAAACTGCTACTTCCTCTCCAAGACCCAAGGGAACTGGAATTATTCTGTCACTGCCTGCCAGGAAGTGGGGGCCCAGTTAGTCATCATCAAAAGTGATGATGAGCAGGTTAGGGACATGTCTCTGGGCCTCCGTCCTGGGGATTTGTGTGTCTGGCCTCTGGCCATAGCTGGGAGGAGGTGGTTGGTCAGACAGAATTTCTCAATGAGGATGGGCTTAATCTAGGACAGGAGAAGGGTGTGAGGAAAGAGGGGTCCAAGCACCTGACAAGGAGACACCCACAAGTCCTGAACACAGATGCATTCTTGAGGGAAGGGGGGAACCCTTAAAATGTAAGGGGAACCCATAGGCCTGCTGGCTACTGGGTCCCAAATTGCGTTAGTGTGGAATGCTCTTCCAGTCCCCTTGGTGTAAATACTGCTGCCATGTCTGAGGTCCAGCCACTGATGGAGTAAGAGAGTGGGGGGGGGGGGGGCGGTGAGGCTGGGGAGGGGAGTGGTATCACTCAGGGCAGAGCCTAAAAGGAGAGATTGAGGAAAGTCATCAATAGTGAACTGACATGAACTGGCTCCAACACTTAAACCCATTCCTGCCCAGATGCTCAGAACTCACAGGACAGATAAGTGTGCCCTATTTCCAAGCGTGTGTGTGTGTGTGTGTGTGTGTGTGTGTGTGTGTGTGTGTGTGTGTGTGTGTGTGTTAGCCAGAACTCAACTGCACACTGCATACACAGAGGAAGAGGGACAGAGGCTTCCCTAAGCCCAGGTAGGGGTACAATAGAAGGTTGGACACCGGGGAGATGACACTGGCTGCAAAGGGGGTGCAGAGCACCCTCCTGACTCTCCTCCCCCCTTCAGGGCTTTCTGGTGGAGATCTCTAAGCATAAACACCCCTCCTGGATTGGTTTTTCAGACGTGAGACAGGAAGGCAATTGGCTCTGGCTGGATGGCTCACCTCTGACACAAAGGTATCGCAGGCCAAGAGAATTTGCTCTGGAGGGAGGTGCAGTGCTGAGGGTCTGACTTGATATATTATTGGGGTTCCTCCCCTGCTCCATATCCCCCACCTCCAGCTGCACTACTCTATGGGAGATGGTAGAGTTTCTGTAGGCCAGAGCCTCTGTTGTTTGCATGGGTATAAAAATAGAGGATGTAGATTAAGGTAGACTACTTTTAATCAATTATATATGGATTCTGGGGTACAGATGCTACCTCTAGCTGCCTAGTGTTGGTTCTGGAATGGGGAGGGAGGTAAGTAATGACCCATATGGCAGGAGTTCAGTAAGAGGGGTGGTGTGGAGACTAGGTGGGTTGCTTTGTTTCTATTGCCTGAGCAATAGAAATCTTGTGAAGCATTGCATATTACCAGGGACAGGGGACACAGTCAAGCAATTCAGGAATACTAGAGCAAATGAATCTGCCTTATACATCCAGGCAGATGTAGGCCCATCAAGTTTCCAGGAGAACAAACAGTCCACAGAGTGAGACTGGGGTAGAGGCTTACTTGCTTTCCTTTTCCTTCTTTCCTTTCTCTCCTCCTTTCTCCTTCCTTCCTTCCTTCCTTTCCTTCTTTGCTTGCTTCCTCCATCTTCCTTTCCTTCCTTCCTTCCTTCTTTCCTTTTTCTTTCTTTCTTTCTTTCTTCTTTCCTTCCTTCCTTCTTTGCTTGCTTGCTTCCATCTCTCTCTTTTCTTTCTTTTCTCTTTCTTTCTTTTTCTTTCTTCCTTCCTTCCTTCCTTCCTTTCCTTCCTTCCTTCTTTCCTTCCTTCCTTCCTTTCTTCTTTCTTTCCTTCCTTCCTTTTTTGCTTGCTTGCTTGCTTGCTTGCTTGCTTGCTTCCTTCCTTTCTTTCTCCAGTCTTGGGGCTTGAACTCAGGGCCTAAGCACTGCCCTGAGCTTTTGTACTCAAAGCTAGGGCTCTACCACTTGAGCCACCACCCCATTTTCAGCTTTCTGGTAGTTAATTGGAGATAAATGTTTCATGGACTTTTTTGCCCGGGCTGGCTTTGAATCACAGTATTCATATTTCAGCCTCCTGAGTAGCTAGGATTCCAGGCATGAAACACTGGTGTCTGGCTCAGCTCCTATTCTTATGGTCTTTCTAGACTCATGAAGTATTGGAAGCCAGACAACTCTGACAGCAAGGGAGAAGATTGTGCAGAACTTAGAGGATATGAATGGAAACACAACAAATGTGTTCAGGAGAAATTCTGGATCTGCAAGAAGTCTTCATTGTCCTGCTCCAGAGAGTGACACCTGGCTTTTATTTTTTCCTTACCGCTTCAGCAGCTTGAACATTCCTTTCATATGGGAGAAGTTTATCCTTCCATTCATGTAGTTCCTCCTCTCTATCTATGGCCACTGAAAACTCAACAAGAATTCTCCCAAATTCTTATGTGGGCTGGACCACTGCTCTTCTTCCTCTTCCTATCCTATCCTGATTCCTAGCACTCTGAAGTTGTGGTTGTTAGTTCTCCTTGCATTATCTGTGGAAGATACTCACGATCTGTTTCTGGTCCATAAGTTTTCGATCTTCTCTTGCTGAGGCCATCCCCAAATACTTCTTTCCCTCTGCTCAATTTCCATCCACCTCCCCTGCATCCTGCCCTACTTCCTGTGGTCAACAAATGCTTGTCTGTATTGGTCTAGAAGTACCCTGGCTCTAACTAGAAATAAAGTCTTATGATATTTTTAGCAGGGGATCACAATAACCCAATCACTAAGTGCATAGGACCCTATATAATGAAGCATATCAAAATGAACTCCAAGAATTAGGAACAAGAGGTTCTTTTTATGTCCTGTATGCAGTTATTTCTATTTTTTCTTTCTGTTTTTGTTCTTTCTTCCCTTTGTCTTGTATATAAGCTCATCTGATCCATGGAAAGGAAAGGGAATCACAGATGTAGCAGGACAAAGGATGAACTAATGCAACAATGATACCCACTAGACACTGTAGGAAATGACCTTTACAGCATGAGGGGAAAGGAGTGGGGAATGGTAAGCAGGAGAGAATGAGGGAGCGGGTAACTGTTTCAAAAGAAATGTACTTTACAATAAACAAAAAAAAATAAAAGACAAAAAAGAGAAATACCTCAGCCTACTGGGTACCAGTGGCTCACGCCTGTCATCCTAGCTACTCAGGAGGCTGAGATCTGAGGATCGAGGTTCAAAGCCAGCCTGGGCAGGAAAGTCTGTGAGACTTTCATCTCCAATTAAGCACCAGAAAACCAGAAGTGGTGCTATGGCTTACGTGATAGAGCACTTGCCATGAACTGAAGAGCACAGGGACAGTGCCCAGGACCAGAGTTCAAGACCTATGGCTGACCAAAAAACCAAAAAATATCCCAGCTCCCTCCTCTCTTGGTGACATCCTGGTGGCAACTGAGACTGCCCTCAACCTGTCCATGCTTGTCCAACTCTGAAGGACACACTCAGGCCCTCATCATGTCATGGCTCTTTAGCTATGGTTAGATGTCTTCTGCTGGAATTAGCTCTCTGCCCATTCTAGATTCTTCTCTGTGGCATTTTGTGTGCACATGCCGGCACATGTGCCAGCACGTATGTGCACACACACAGATATTTGAGTGGTTATGAGATTTTCTGAGTTTATGGCAATGAGGTAATTTGGATGCGGTCTAGGAAACATCAGGATGGGGCTGGTCATCAGAAAGACCAAATACTTTGTTGGGCGCTGGTGGCTCATGCCTGTCATCCTAGCTACTCAGGAGGCTGAGATCTGAGGATCACAGTTTGAAGCCAGCCTGGTAGAAAAGTCCATGAGACTCTTATCTCCCAGGAACCAGCAAAAAAGCCAGAAGTGAGCTGTGGCTCAAGTGGTAGAGTGCTAGTCTTGAGCACAAAAGCTCAGGAGTCAGTGCTCAGGTGCTGAGTTCAAGTCCCAGGATGGTGAAGGAGAAGAAGGAGAAAGAGAAGGAGAGGGAGAAGGGGAAGGTGGAGGAGGAAGAGGAGGAGGAGGAGGAGGAGGAGGAGGAGGAGGAGGAGGAGGAGGAGGAGGAGGAGGAGGAGGAGGAGGAGGAGGAGGAGGAGGAGGAGGAGGAGGAGGAGGAGGAGGAGGAGGAGTGATTTAATCTCAGTACCAAAGTCACTGTGACTAAAGACAGCAGCAAACCTCAAGTTATCAGCCATGGTGTTTGCACAAAGTCTGTGGGCACAAATGTCTAGCCCTTCCTGTAGGTGGAGGAGAGGTTGTGTTGTGATCCTTATCTTTACAAATGATACACCATCTCACATTGTAGCCAGACCCTATTTGGACTTTTTTTTTTTTTGGTCCTAGTACAGCCCCTTAATCTTCTCATTTGTCCCTGACATTCCTGGAGAGCCTGGCAGAAGCCATGTTGGGTCATGAACTCTGCCGCTTCCTCCAGCCTCTTCTGCCCACACTGCTACCCACTTCCCTGTTTCTCTTCCTAAGAATAGATTAAAGGAGTGAGGCACACGCTGTGGTCAGAAAAGCGGATGGTCCCCAGCAGTCCCAGGCAGGGAGGGACAGCGGCTCAACCATGTATGACCCTGAGGAAGAAAGGAGGCAATATCTGGGTGAGGCTGGGCTGGAACTGAGGGGGTTCTATCAGGGCCAACCTAAGTCACGGCGTTTGGGGATCACAGTGTCACCAGACACTCTTAAATGCTCTAGATGCTGGCCAACTTCTGGATTCAATCATTTTTTGCAGAGAGATCAGAGCCAGGAGCTGAGGAAAGAGTGGACAGAGTTTGGGAGGCTGAAGTTGGGAGGTTGAAGTTGGGAGGCTGAAGTTGGGTTTGTGGGCACTTAGGTTCCGGGGAGGTGAAAGTTAAGACTATGGGGTCACCTGGATCCTGGGGAAGTGGAGGCTGAGCCTTTGAACACCTGCGTCTGGGGAGGTGAAGTTTGGGTCTGTGGATACTTGGATCCTAAGGAAGTTATATTTGGGATCTTGAGTTCTGGGTCTCCAAAATCAAGGCTGAGACCTCACAAGGCTAGGTCTTGAACTCCTGGGTCCCTAAGCTGGGAAAGCTTAGACCTGGAGATTGAAAACCTGATTGACTGAGCACTGGAAAGGGAGCAATTGTCATGACAATCCTGTGCTCTTGGGGAAGATAAAAGTAGCCAGGCTGTCTCTGGGCCGGGGTGAGGCAGGGAGATTGTTCTGGAACATCCTCCCCCTCCTTCCCCCTGCCCCCCGTCTCTCCCACAGGGTGTCCTGGCCAGAGTCACCTTCTCCTGGTGCTGCATCTGCTCTCGATCACACTCTTGGCTGGACTGTTGACGGCCGTTCTTGTTCCGGGTCAGGGCAAGCCCAAGGATTTGGGGGTTCTTGGGTCTGGCCTGCTGGCTGGGGCAGCCAGATTCAGGAGGGAGGGTGGGAGTGAAGCCTTGTACTAGCTTCTAGAAGCTTCATAAAGTCCCTCTCTCTGCTGCAGGGGGGAGGGGAACACTTGCCATTGTGGGTCAGCCTTCTCAGGAAGCCAGACACTTTTATACTATTATTATTATTGTTGTTGTTTGTGCCAGTCCTGGGGCTTGAACTCAGGGCATGAGGATTATCTCTTAGCATGTTCACTCAGGGCTAGTGCTCTACCACTTGAGTCACACCTCCACTTCTGGCTTTTTGGTGGTTCCTTAGAGATGAGTCTCACAGACTTTCCTGCCCAAGGTGGCTTTAAATTGTGATCCTCAGATTTCAGCTTCTTGAGTAGTAGGATTACAGGTATGAGCCACCAGCACCCCATTTATTTCTCCTCTATAATGAGGCTAGAACCCCCACCCTCCCCAAAAAAAACATCCATATGCATCAGAAATGGTGTCCCAAGGAGCACTGTGCAGAGCCTGGTGCACAGTAGGTGTTTAATCATTTTAGTTCGTTTTTCTTGACAACAGAGTTGGAACATCCCAGCTCCCAGGGGAAAGAGAGGATCTACCAGGAACTGAGACAGCTGAAGGCTAGAGTGGGTGAGTGACTGGAAACTGGATCCATTATGTGTTTGAGAAAGTCTTTATGTGGGATCACTTTACTGGGTTCCCCAGCCAACTGTGGGCTCCAGTTTTCTCTTCTGGGATCTGGAAACATAGACTACCGAGGACAGGGTAAGAACTCAAGCCCATTTTCTTGCCTGTGTTCTGAGCTAAACCATCTACTTTTCTACACCCCTGGAGGAATGGTGGACCCAGGATAATGTGTCTGACTGGGTGGTTTCAAGACTGACAGACGCAGGAGAATATATTGACAATCGTGTGTGTGTGTGTATGTATGTGTGTGTGTGTGTGTGTTGGGGGAGTGTCCAGACCTGAACTGTCTCTCCCCAACAGACAGCATGTGTCGCCCCTGCCCCTGGGACTGGATGCTCTTCCAGCAGAGCTGTTATTTCTTCTCCAAGTCCAGACGGAACTGGAATGATTCAGCCACTGCCTGCCAGGAAATGCAGGCCCAGCTAGTGATGATCAAAAATGATGAGGAAAAGGTGCATCTGGTGGGGGTTTGGTCGTGGTTGGAGGCCAGCTGGGGTGGAAGTGGGGCCTGCCTGTCTGCCTGCCTGCCTTCCTTCCTTCCTTCCTCCTTTCTTTCTTCCTTCCTCCCTCCTTCCCTCCCTGCCTCCCTCCCTCCTCTCTCTCTCTCTCTCTCTCTCTCTCTCTCTCTCTCTCTCCTCCTTCTCCTTCTCCTTCTCTTTCTCCTTCTCCTTCTCTTTCTCCTTCTCCTTCTGTTCTGGGTTTGAACTCAGGGCTTGGGCGCTGTCCTCGAGCTCTATGTGCTTGAGGCTAGTGCTCTACTACTTTGAGCCACAGTGCCACTTCTGGTTTTCTGGTGGTTCATTAAAGAGTCTCACAGAATTTCCTGCCTATGCTGGCTTTGAACTGCCATCTTCAGATCTCAGCCTCCTGAGTAGTGAGGGTTACAGGTGTGAGCCACTGGCACCCAGCTTAGAGAGCATTTCTGAAAGAGGGGTTGCTTTTTTCATCTGAGGAAGAGTAGAGGAAAGGAAGGAAGGTAGGTTTCATGAGCATCTTGCAAGGAGACACCCACAAGTTCTGAATGGATGTATGTTTGTGGGGAGGGAGGAACCCCTAAAATATAAGGGGAAACCCATGGGTGTGCTTGCTACTGGGTCCCAAATTGATTCGTGGGGGAAAAAACCATCCTGAGTGGACCCTCTGCCAGTTTCCTTGGTGTAAATACCGCCGCCATGTCTGAGGTCCAGCCACTATGGAGGGGGAAGGGATATCACTCAGTGCAGAGCCTAAAAACGGAAACTGAGGAAAGTCATCAATTGTGAATTAGCATGAGCTGGCTCCAACACTTAAACCCAGCCATGAATAAATTCCTGCTCAGATGCTTAGGACTCATAGGACAGATAAATGCATCCTATTTCCAAGTGTGTGTGTGTGTATGTGTGTGTGTGTGTGTGAGCTAGAACCCAACTGCACACTGCATGCACACATGAGAGGGACAGAAACCCCCCTGAGCCCAGGTTGGGGTTCATGGGCCTGGTTCAATAGAAGGTTGGACATGGAGGGACATTGGCTGAAAAGGGGGTGCAGAGTGCCCTCCCAACTCCTCTTCTCCCCCTTCAGAGTTTCCTGGAGATGATTTCTGAGCATAAACACCCCTCCTGGATTGGTCTCTCAGACGTGGGACAGGAAGGCGATTGGCTCTGGCTGGATGGCTCACCTCTGTCACAAAGGTATCGCAGGCCAAGAGAATTTGCTCTAGAGTGGAGTGCAGCGCTGAGGGTCTGACTTGATATATTATTGGGGTTCCTCCCCTGCTCCATACCCCTTCTCCAGCCATAAGGGCTGCTGGTTTTCATGGAGTGAAAGCAGACTTTTTTGTTGTTGTTGTTGGTCCTGAGGCTTGAACTTAGAGTGTGGGCTTTGCTTCCCTTTTTTGCATGGCTCTTTGGAGATAAGAGGAAAGTCTACAAGACTCTGACCTTTAAAAAAAAAAAAACTTTTTTGCTAGTCCTGGGACTTGAACTCAGGGCCTGGGCACTGTCCCTGAGCTTCTTTTGCTCCAGGCTAGCACTCTACCACTTGAGCCACAGCACCCCTTCTGGCTTTTTCTGTTTCTGTGATACTGAGGAATCCAACCCAGTGCTAGGCAAGCACTCTACCACTAAACCACCTTCCTAGTCTCCTGTGAGACTCTTATATCCAATGAACCACAGCAAAAGGCAGAAGTGGTGCTGTGGCTCAAGTGGTAGAGGGCTAGCCTTGAGCTAAGGAGCTCAGAGACAGCGCCCAGACACAGAGTTCAAGCCCCAGGACCGGCAATAGGATGCTGGGGCCGAGACTGATAGTGTCACGATTCTTGCAGCCTGGTGAAGTACTGGAAGAAAGATAGGCCCAACAATGACACGGAGAAGAACTGTGCGGAATTTAGTGCTGATGGTTGGAATGACGTCACATGCGATCTGGAGAAATACTGGATCTGCAACAAGTCCTCATGGCCCTGCTCCAACAAATGACGTCTGGTTTCCCTGTCGCCCAGATATCCAGGACACAGTGGCAGTTCCTTCTTCCATTTGCAATAGCCCTGGGATTCCTCAGCATCTGGGAGCCCAGGGGTTATACCCCTGCTGTTCTTCCTTCTGTCTCCTTGACTTTGAACTTGGGCCTCTAAGCCTTTGGCACTCTCCATGCGATTCATCCATTCATCCCTCTCCTTTTACTGAGATGGGAGATTTCACCGACATGATGGCTTTATCCCATCCCTGCATAATTCCCTTCCATCTTCCCAGCCTCCATCTCCCTTTTGCCTGGGGATTTTCCCTGTAACCGGAAGTATCAGGGAATTCTTTCCTGTGCTCAACTAATGCTTGTCTCTACTGGTATAGAACCATCCTGCTTCTTCCTCTCTGCCTGCCTTCCATAGACATCCACTTTGGCCCTAGACTTCCCTCTGTCCCTCTGTCCCTTCCTTCCTTCCTTCCTTCCTTCCCTCTCTCTGTGTCCCTTTCTCTTTCTTCTTTCTCATGATGCTGAGATTTGAACTCAGGGTCTCAAAGTTGCCAGGCAGATGCTCTACCACTCAGCCACACCCCTCAGTCTAGGGATCTGGGGAAGATGGTGACAGGCCCTTTTCTCCATGTGATAAAGTGAGGTAGAAGGATTTTATCCAAGGCCAGGGGAAGATAGGTCTCACTGAAGAATCATGATTCATTCATTAGGTGGCTTCAGTCCTAGAGCTCTTCTATCCATAAGACAGTGAGAGTCTAACTACACATCACCTAGCAATTTGACTACAAACATTGCTCATAAAAGATAAACATGCACAGCCAGGGGCTGGTGACTCATATCTGTAATCCTAACTACTCAGGATGCTGAGATCTGAGGATCTCAGTGCAAAGCCAACCCGGGCAGGAAAGTCAGAGAGACTCTTACCTCCAATGAACTACCACAAAGCTAGAAGTAGAGCTTTTGGTTCCAGTGGTAGAGCACTAGCTTTAAGGAAAAAGAGCATAAGTACAGTATCCAGACCCTGAGTTCAAGCTCCAGGACTGGCACACACACACACACACACACACACACACACACACACACACACACACACACACAATATATGTGAACATGTGAAATCCACTGTGTCCTTTGTACAATTAATATAAACTAAAGGATGATAGGAAAGTCAGGCAGGCTCTGCTGAGGGATGGGAGGGGGACTATGGGGAAAATGTTCTCTATCTGGATGAAGATAAAATGATGAAATGTGCAGATTGTTGTCTTAAGAAGGGGAGGAAAAGGGGATGTGGAAGATGATGGAGGGGCTGAGCTGAATGCTTGCATTTTGTGCATGTTTGGAAATGTTGCAATGAAACCCTCTTGTGTGGAACAAACTATGCTTTGAAATGTTAATTGAAAACAAAGGAAATAAATCAGGGAAAAAAAGAACAGTCCCAGATTATAGCAGGCTTAAATAAAGGTTAAAAAAATTATTCTCGGGGCTGGGAAGGTGGCTCAGCGGTACAGTGCTTGCCTTGCACGCATGAGGCCCTGGGTTCGATTCCTTAGTACCACATATGCAGAAAAAGCTGGAAGCAGCACTATGGTTCAAGTGGTAGAGCACTAGCCTTGAGCTGAAGAGCTCAGGGACAGCATCCAGCCCCATGACCAATAAAAAACAAAACAACAACAAAAAATTATTCTCAACATGAAAAGTCAGCAGAAATCACAAGTAACGATTTCAGCAAATGGAGATGGAGGAGTCTTGGTTAGAATATGGGGTGCACTTTAGAGGACTGGATTTGCTATAGGTAGGGGCCACATAAAACACACACACACACACACACACACACACACACACATCATCATCATCATATATATATATGTGTGTGTATACACACACATATGATGATTTACTTGCTTTAGGGCTAGGTGCAGTGGTTCATGCCTGTAATATCAGCAATTTAATAGGCAGACATGGGGGCTGGGAAGGTGGCTTAGTGGTAGGGTGTTTGCCTTGCATGCATGAGGCCCTGGGTTCGATTCCTCAGCACCACATAAGCAGAAAAAATAAAAAAGCTGGAAGTGGCGCTGTAGCTCAAGTGGTATAGTACTAGCCTTGAGCTAAAGGGCTGAGAAACAGTGCCCAGGCCCAGAGTTCAGGCCCCACGACCGGACCCCCCCCCCCCAAAAAAAAAAGAGGTAGAGATGGAAAGGATTACTGTTCAAGGCTAGGTAAAGATGTTAGCAAGATCCTATCTCAACCAAGTTGGGTGTAGTGGTGCCAGCCTGTCATCCCAGTTCTGTATAAAGTAGCTGAGGCCAGCCCTGGACAGAACTTAAGACTTTATTATTTATTTCCCTTTATCCTATTATGAAACATTAAGTATTGAAAAAATGTAAATGCATGAAGGAATAATATTCAAAGATGATAGGTTTTGAGCATAGGGGACTAATTAGCAAAAGGAGTTTATTTTGGCAAGAGATATTATAGGACATTTTGGACACTTGCATGTAAGAGAATCTATTTTACTTTTTTTCTTCTAATCCTGGGGCTTCAACTCAGGACCTATATGCTGTCCCTGAGCTTTTATGCTCAAGACTTGAACTCTACCACTTGAGCCACAGCCCCACTTCTGGCTTTTTTCTGTGATTAATTGGAGATGAAAGTCTCACAGACTTTCTTGCCTGGGCTGGCTTTGAACCTCAGTCCTCCTGAGTGGCTAGGATGACAGGTGTGATAAAGGGTCTCTTTAGTCCAGGCTGTCCTTGAACTTGAAACCTTCCAGAAAGTTAGGGTTACAGAGGTGCCTTATCATGCCCAGGTCAGAGAATCTTTGAACATCATGCTATGGGGTTCCACTTTGTATTATTTATTTCTTCATTTATTAAAATAGGTATTTATGTAGCTTCCTTGTACCTCCTGGCAATAATGATGCATAGATAGATTGGACTTCCATAGTAGTATGCAAGCAAGATTTGTCTCCCTCCCCCACAAGGCCTTCCCTTATTAAAACAAAACTAGAAAGTAAAAAGGGGATGGCTCAAGGGTAAAGCACCTGCTCAGCAAGCAGGAGGCCCTGAGTTCAAACCTCAGTTCCATTAGAGAAAACCCCAGACACGCAGGTGCTGGTGGCTCACACCTGCCATCCTAGCTTCTCAGGAGGCTGAGATCTGAGGACTATAGTTCAAAGCCAGCCTGGGTGAGAATGTTTTCCCAATTAACTACCAAAAAGCCAAAAGGGAACTGTAACTCAAATAGTAGGATGCCAATGTTGAGCACAAAAATGCTCAAGGACAGTGCCCAGGCTTGAGTTCAAGCCCCAGGACCATTACACACACACACACACACACACACACACACACACACACACTGCAGCGAGCAATCCAGAGAGGGGGAGGGGGGGGGTGGAACTCCAGAAGAAGATGGTTCTAAAGACAGACCAAACATTTCCATTGTAGAGCTCAGGCCTCCATAACCTGCGTGAAATCTTTTGAGATCTGGCAATGATATGTGCCACTTCCTCAGCCCCGCCCTTGATAACCATTTCCGGTTACACTCCCCCCCCCCACCACCATTTTTCTTTAAGAGGGACAGTAGGGTATGGGGAGTAAGACAGGGAGATGAACAAAATCTGTGGTCACTAGCAAGGCCAGGGAACTGGGGGGTGGGAGGGTGGGGGTGGCAGATAGCGATGACTGTCATTTACTTGAGGAAGTGAGCCTGGGCTGGGACTATAGGCATTCTGGGGACACTCTGCCATTCAGAGGAAGAGGTGATGATCAGCAGCAGGTTTTCATTTAGAGGCTCTGGGCCTGAACTACAGCCTGGATCCCACCATTCTTCAGGTACAATGTGGGTAGATGCTAATAAGGGCCGGAAGGCACCTCCTGGAGACTTGGGAACAGAGAAGCAGAGGTTACGGCAACTTGGAGGACAAAGTCCAGCTCTAGAAACTAGGATAAGATTTTGGGGTCTAAGTGGGGTAGGGGAGCTACGATCTAGAACCTGTGTGCTTGGAGACGAGGCTGGTACCAGGCCAGAATCTTGCTTTCTTTAACTTTCTCTGGTCCTGCAGGGAGGAGGAGGGAGGTGAAGATGAGATGGAGTTCAATGCCTTCTTCAGGGGTTTATTATATTCCCTCCCACTTCAGGTGATGGTGGGGACTCCAACTCCGGAAACCCCTATTTCTCTCCCTAGGCCATCTGGGCCATGGCCTTGGGCCCCTGCTACTACTGCAACTGCTCTTCATCACTCTCTTTGTTGGGGTCCTGGTGGCATTCCTTTACAGAGGTGAGGCAGGCCTGAAGGTGGGGTATTTTTTGCTCTGGTGCAACAACCAGATTCAGGAAGGAACTAGGGAAGCTGGGGGGAGGGGCAGGAAGAGTCTAGGGTCAAAGATTCCAGAGCCTTCTAGAGGCTTCCCTGCTGTAGGGGAGGGAGAACAAGGGAGAGTCTGGGATGCTTCAGCTTCAAATGGGATTGAACCAACACTTTTCATCTTTGAAATGATGTTCTTGATGGATTTGGGGGGTGTGCAGAAAAAATTTGACTAAATGTCCACCCTGGGTGTGCAGTGATTATAGCTTCTGTTTTTTTTGTGTGTGTGGGGGGGATGTGTACAGTACCCAAGAACCCCAGTGACCAGAAACAGGAGAAGATCTATCAAGAACTGAATCAGCTGCGATCTGGAGTAGGTGAGTGGTGAAATGTCTGGGTAGCCGAGGGGACCCCCCTCCCCACCTCAGACGAGGTCCCTGTGCGAGTGTCGCTGGCCCTCTTTGAGCTGCAGTTCCCTCCCCTGTAAATTTAGAACCCAGGGTTAACATCAAGGTGGCACTTGGTGTTCCTAGGGGATGGGAGCGGGGTGGTGGTAGTGCATGCACATAATAGGTGTTCAGTTAAGCCAAGGTCCTGCTGTCTGTTCTGAGCTCTAAGGCCCCTATGCCCCCAGACTAGAGATGAGCCCATGACGCCTGGCTTCTGATGGGGGAATGACATTAAGGGAGGGAGGGCCCTGACTGTTGAGGGCTTGAAGGTTGGGGGGCCGACAGGAATGACATCCATGGATGAGTCCAGCCTGACCCACCTCCTCCTCTCCTAGACCGCCTGTGCCGGCCCTGCCCCTGGGACTGGACGTCCTTCCAAGGAAACTGTTACTTCTTCTCCAAGTCCACCCGAAACTGGACCGATTCTCTCATCGCCTGCCAGGAGATGGGGGCCCAGCTGGTCATCATTGAAAACTTGGAGGAGCAGGTGCACCGATGGAGCATCTGTTGGTGTGGGGCCTGCACTCAACCAATGTTCAGGTGGAAGGGGGCAGTGGGGGCACACAGCTGTCAGGAGGAGGGGCTAGGTGCCCCTCCTGGAAAGCAGAAGAAGAAGGGGCGAATGAGACACGGTGACAGGTGAGCTGTGAGCACGAGCAAGTGGCTGGGAGAATGCCTAACATGTAAGTCATCCCCACAGGTGCTTTGGCTTTTTTTTTTTTTTTTTGGTCAGTTGTAGGGATTGAACTTGGGACCTGGGCACTGTCCCTGAGCTCTTTTGGTCAAGGCTAGCACTCTACCACTTTGAGCCACAGTGCCACTTCTGGTTTTCTGGTGGTTCATTGGAGATGAGTCTCATGAACTTTCTTGCCTGGGATGGCTTGGAACCACAATCCTCAGATCTCTGCCTTCTGAGTAGCTAGGATGAGAGGCATGAGTCACTGGTGCCCAGCTGTATCTAAAACATGTTCTGGGGCTGGCCATTGGTGGATCACCCCTGTAATCTTAGCTACTGAGGAGGCTAAGATCTTAGGATCTCAGTTCCAAGCCAGCCTGGGCAGGAAAGTCCATGAACCCAGGAACCACCAAAAATCCAGAAGTGAAGCTGTGGTTCAAGGGTTAGAACACCATCCTTGAGTACAAAAGCTCAGAGACAGAGCCTAAGCCCTAAGTTCAAGAACACACACACACACACACACACACACACTTAAAATCAGCAAAGAAAATCAATAAACCCTCTTCCACAAAACAAAACAAAACTTGTTTTCTGGGGCAGGCAGGAAGGCATCCTGATATAGGCCAGTTGCCAATTTCCTTGGTGTAAATATTGGCAGCAAAACTGGTGCCACACGTGCAATGGGGTATCACCCAAGGCAGAGCTGAAAACAGGTGATGTGCCTGAGCCATAACGGTGACCCGCTAGGGTCTGAGTCCACTAAACCCACTCTTGTGGGTTGCTCTTGTGGCATGCTCAGAACTCCTTATGTAGGTAATCAGACAGTGTCAAACATGTCTGTGCAGAGGCCAGTTTGTGCCATGGTCTGCTTGTGAACCATAGCACACCTGGCCACACAGTGCCAGGGTAGGGGTGCTCACACCTTTTAAGCACACTTACAGCAGTGAAGAGTCATACCTTAGAAGGCTGGGTGGCAGGTTGCAAGGAGAACCTTTTCCCAAAGAGACTGGGGAGACAAGACTCAAAAAAATAATAGAGGACAACCAGGTGCTGGTGGCTCACACCTGTAATTCTAGCTACTCAGGAGGCTGAGATCTGAGGATTGTGGTTCAAAGCTAGCCCCAGGTAGGAAAGTCTGTGAGACTCATATCTCCAATTAATCACCAGACATCTACAAGTAGAACTGTGACTCAAAGTGCTAGAGTGCTAGCCTTGAGCAAAAATGAGCTCAGGGACAGTGCCCAGGCCCTGAGTTCAAGCCCCATGACTGACAAAAAAACAAACAAACAAACAAAAAACAAACAAATGAATGAAACCCCAAACAGAGGACTCTGACTCCTTTTCTCTGCCTCCAGAAGTTCCTAAAATTCAACTTGCCGAAAAAACACCGAGCTTGGATTGGGATCTCAGACTTGGAAAAGGAAGATAATTGGCAGTGGGTGAATGGTTCAGCTCTGTCGCACAGGTAAACCCAGACAGAATGAAACACCTTATTGAATGTGTGTGTGTGTATGTGTGTGTGTGTGTGTGTGTGTGTGTGTATGCGCAAGTGTGTGAGAATGGAGTGTTCCTTTTTTTTTTTTTTTTGTCAGTTGTAAGACTTAAACTCAGGGCCTGGGTGCTGTCCCTATCTTTTTGCTCAAGGCTAGCGCTCTACCACTTTGAGACACAGCACCACTTCTGATTGGTGGTGGTTGATTGGAGATGAGTTTCACAGACTTCACTACCTGGACTGCCTTTGAGCCCAAATCCTCAGATCTCAGCCTCCTGAGTAGCGAGGATTATAGGTGTGAGCCATTAGTACCCAGCAGAGAGGAAATTTTGATATAAAACCTAGACTACCTGGTTTTGTATATATCTGCTCTGTGTGTGTGTGTGTGTGTGTGTGTGCGCGCACGCACACGTGCTGGTACTGAGGCTTGAACTGCAGGCTTCCTGCTGTTGCTTAGCTTTTTCTCTCAAGGCTGGTGCTTCACCACTTAAGCTCCATTTCCACTGCTTTGTAGCTAACAAAAAAAAAATCTCACCCAGTAGACAGAAGGGTCCAATGTCAAGACCCACCAGGCAGATTATTGGGTCCAGAACAAGGCTTGTCTGCCATTTTGTGTGTGATGAATGAGAAGGACCTCAGGCCTGTGTGCATGGGTTTTTGCAGCTTTAGCACATATTGGAATGAAGGAGAGCCCAACAACCAGGAAGATGAAGACTGTGCAGAATTTAAAAAAAGAGGTTGGAATGATGAGAAGTGTGCATTTAAGAATTTCTGGATTTGCAAGAAACCTGCCGTAGCCTTCTGCTCCCGTGAATGAAGCCAGGGTTTTTCAAACCCTTATAGCTCTTATTTTCCCTGCCAAGAAGAACTTCCCTCAGATTTATGCCAGCTCCTTCTCATTGGGTGGGAGCTGGATCACCGGATGCTTCACTTTCTCTCTGGGACTTCTCTAATTCCTCCTCTCCAATGGGGGTGCAGCCATTGGGATCCTTCCTCTGATGTCCCCAGCTCCTCTTTGTGTTATTGTTGTTGTTGTTGGTTGTGGGGCTTGAACTTGGGACCTGGTGCCATCCCTGAGCTCTTTTTGGCTCAAGGCGAGTGCTCAACCACTTTAAGCCACGGGGCCACTTCTGGTTTTCTGGTGATTCATTAGAGATAAGTCCATGGACTTTCCTACCAGGATTGGCTTTGAACCGTGATACTCAGATCTCAGCCTCCAGAGTAGCTGAGATTACAGGCATGAGCCACCAGTACTTGGCTAAGTTAACTTATTTTAACAGTTCATCAATGACTTGGGTATTAGGTTACAAAACATCCAGCTCTCATTTCTTGTAGTGGAGGTTATGGCAAACCTTGAGTTGAACCTTCCAGATCTCTTGTTAAGGGAAGACATGTTATGCAATCATTGGGAATTTTTAGTGGAGACGCAGTTATCTAGCCCCTTCCTGTCTGGATTGCTTTAAGAAGCTGACTTCTAAATATTGGGCTCATTCCTGGTCACATGGGTGCAGCAATATGAAGGTTTAGCCATGTCTGCCTGTCTTCCCATGGTGTGGACTGTGGCATCATTACAGCTTCTCCGCTACATTTACTTTCCTTTTCCATTCCTGTAACATAATAAAAATTCACCCATTTGGTGTTTCTTCAGATTCCTGAGTGATAAGAATAAATTTTGGGGGGTAACTTATGAACAACAATTTCCTTTAGCTAGATGCATCAGCTCATGCCTTCAATTCTAATCACATGAGAGTTGGAGATCAGAAGAATTAGTTCTAGTTTTTTGAGGCCAGCAAAAATTTCATCTAACCACTGAGTGCTGGTGGCTCATGCCTGTAATCCTAGCTACTCAGGAGGCTGAGATCTAAGGATCATGGTTCAAAGCCACCCCAGGCAGGAAAGTCCATGAGACTCTTATCTCCAGTTAACCACCAGAAAGCTGGAAGTGGCACTATGGATTAACTGGTAGAGAACTCACCTTGAGCTGAAGAGCTGAGGGACAGCACCCAGGTCCAGAGTTCAAGACCCATGACTGACAAAAAAATTAGATCTAAAATGCACTAGGATATGATAAATTATACAGGATTCTAGAGACTTGCGCACAGTGAGGCCAAAAGAGGATACTCTTAGGAGAGAAACACAAAAACACAATGCCTAAGTGCCTCTTCATATCTTTATAAAATACTGAAACCAACTCCAAGATAAGGAAACAAGTGCTTACCTTGAGCCTTTATCCTCCAGCCTGCTAAGTAAATAGGATTACGCACATGAGCTTCTCAGCTAGTTAAGAGCCTTTTTAAAAGAAAGACTTTTCTATACCAGACATTTGTTTAAAACATTCCATTTTATGCTGGGTGTCAGTGGCTTACGCTTTGAATCCTAGCTACTCAGGAGGCTAAGATCTGAGGATTGTGGTTCAAAGCCAGCCTGGGCAGAAAAGTCAGTAAGACTTTTATCTTCAATAAACTACATATATGTATATATATACATACATATATATGTATATACATGTATATGTATATGTATGTGTGTGTATGTGTATATATATATATATATATATATATATATATATATATATATATGTCCAGAAGTGAGCTGTGGCTCAAATGGTAGAAGGCTAGCTTTGAGCAAAAGAAGTTCAAGGTGCTTTGTATGTCCCTCCCCCACAGTATAACCCCCGCTTTCACTATATTTGATATCAGTATAACTTGTGGAGGAGATGGGGAAAAACAAGTCGTTTAAGGATTCAGGTGGACCTGTCGCAACAATGAGAAGTACAAATTGTCATGTCAAAAATGAGCTTTACAATGTCGGTGGGGGGGAGGGGGGGAAGGATTGGGGGGGAGGGGGGACGTTGGGAAGGGAGGTGAAGGGTAAACAAAGGAGGAGGCTGCAATGCTTGGTAAGAAATGTATGCATTATCCTGCCCATGTAATTGTAACCCCTCTGTACAGTATGTTTACAAATAAAATAAAATATTAAAAAAAAAAAAGAAGTTCAAGGACACCAGACCTGAGTTCAAGGCCCAGGACTAGCATGTGTGTGTGTGTGCAGGCATGTGTGCATGCACACACGCACACATGCACTCGTGTGCGTGTGTACACATGTGCATGCACGTGCGCACACACACACAAGATTCCATTTTATACAGATACTGAAGGGGACCGGTGCCAGTAGCTCATGTCTGTAATCCTTGCTAATCAGGAGGCTGAGATCTGAGGATCATGATTCAAAGCCAACCAGGGCAGGAAAGTCAGTGAGATTATCTCCAGTGAACCACTGGAAAACTGGAAGTGGTGCTGTGGCTCAAGGTGATAGAGTTCTAGCCTTGAGTGAAAAAGCTCAGGGACAGCACTCAGGCTCTGAGTTCCAAGCCCCATGACAGACAAAAAAATCCCCAAACCAAAACAAAAAAAAAACACCCAAAGGGATGAGTATGTATTGATTTGAAAGGACTATATGAAGTCTCGACCAGCAGAAAATATTGTTTTGATATGACAGGACCATTGTAGAACTGTATTAGTAGATGAATTTATGTGTACACTGTAGTGTATGTGTGCTACATCACAACTGATGAATAAAAAATAAGTGCATGAAATCATGGTTCAAATAATTTTTCCTCTGTGTGCAGGGGGGGGGAGTGGGGAGGTTATTGGAGCTTCAACTCAGGCCCCTAGTGTTGTCCCTTAGCTTTTTCACTCAAGGCTGGCATTCTACCACTTGAGCTTTTTGGTGGTTAATTGGAGGTAAGAGTCTCATGAATTTTCCTGTCAGGGCTAGCTTTAAATCACAATCCTCAGATTTCAACCTCCTCAGTAGCTAGGATGACATCAGCACCTAACAATCATGCTTCCTTCTAAATCTAGCCTATTGGTAATGCTCTTCACTTTGTTTTATTTGATTTGTGGAGCCTTTCCTTTCTGAAATTTGACTTTTTTTTTCAGAATCTCTAGTTTTTCATTGAATTTCTGATCAACTCTTCAACTGACTTTCTCAACTCAATCATCTACTTCTTGCCTCTTTTTAAGATGATTGATCAGACAATTGGCTTAATTTAAAATTAGACTTTTGGATTCTTTGACATTTCATCATGTCAGCATCTTTCTATTTAGTTGTTGGAGAATTCTGAATTTTGCAGGAGTCATATTTCATGGCTTTTTGCACATTCCTATGTTTCTGCATTGTGCTTTGAGCATCTACTAAGATATCTCTTCCTTTTTTTTTTTAAGTGTAAATCTTGGAACTCAGGTCCTGGATGCTGTCCCTAAGCTATTTTCCACTCAAGGTTGGCATTCTACCACTTAAGCCGTAGCTCTACTTCCACCTTTTTTTTCCTTTTAGTTGGGGGAGGGGATTCGGTCATAAATTTAGACATAAGAGTCTCAAAGACTTACCTGACCAGGATTGGCTTCAAACTATGATCCCTGAATCCCAGCCTCTTGAGGTGCTAGGATTACAGGTATGAGCCACCAGTACCTGGCTCATCTGGTTGAAGCAGACAGCAGTGATGACAACTCTCCAAGAAACCATATATATATATATATATATATATATATATATATATATATATACACACACACATACATATATACACACACACATGTGCACACACACATATATACACACACATATACATACATACATATTGCCAGTCTTGGGTCTTGAACTCAGGGCCTGGGCACTGTCCTTGAGCTTTTTTTGATCAAGGCTAGTACTCTACCACTTGAGCCACAGCACCACTTCTGGCTTTTTCTGTTTATGTGGTACTGAGGAATCAAATCCTAGGCTTCATGCGTGCTAGGCAAGCACTCTACCACTAAGCCACATGCCCAGCCCAAAGCCAAATATTTTAAATATTGTTAAGCAACTATGAAAAACAACCATTGTGCCCTTGATAAGAATGTAAAAGAAAGGAGTTAAGATGCTTATAGGATAAACAAAGAATTTCAAAAGTAAAGATATGCTGATATTTAACTTCTATAATTTTCTTTCCTTATCCCTCATCTTTTAATACCCTGAAACAATGTTATATTTAGAATCCTGTTTTCAACGAACTATAGATACATATCTACACATATACATACCTATACATATCATATACAGTTATACATATCTTTGTACATGTACCTGTATGTACTACCTATAGAGATATACTATCTTGTACATGTACATATCATATACATACATATACATTATCTGTGGGTAGTAGGTAGATAGAATTTTTATATCTAGATTTTGAATAGTGCATAAATAGACCTTTTATATATCTGGATTTTTGAATATGAGAACTTTAATATGATGATCTCCAGTTTCTCTCCATTTTCCTGCAAACAACATAATTCCATTCTTATTTATGACTGAATACTACTTCCTTGTGTATCTATAACACCTTTTCGTTATCCAGACATCATTTGTAAGACATCTAGGCTGCTTGGGCAGCTTAGCTATTGTGAATACAGCTGTTGTGAAGGTTTAATCTAGTTAAAAGATAATACATGCATTGGGAAATACCACCGTGTAAACCATTTGTGCAATTAGAGCATAGACTTAAAATGAATGAGGAAGTAACACAGGCTGGGTGAGCCAGGGGCTCCCCCTTCTCAAGAGGCTGAGATTTGACAATCTAAGGTCGAAGTCAGCCTAGGCAGGAAAGTCCACGAGACGCTTATCTCCAATTAACTAACAAAATACCAGAAGTGGAGCTGTGATTCAGGTGGTTGAGCACTATCCTTGAGTGGAAGAGCTCAGGGACAGCGCCCAGGCCCTAAGTTCAAGCCCCAGGCCCGCAGGTGGAGGTGAGGACGCGAGATGGGCTCAAGGTGGATGGCATTGTTACCATCCTGGCGATTTCCTAGGAACTGCTGGAACAGTGGCCAATGGCCAGTCCTTCTCCAGGCCCCGGGCGCCTTCCACATGGCCCCCGCGGGGACAGCTCCTCCTGCGCACCCAGGAAGGGCCCCGATCCACAGCCATTCGAGTACAGGCCATGCCTAGACCTTGTCTTGGGG